AATCCATACTTTGAGTCAGCTGTTCAGAAGAAAAAATATCAAGACAGAGCAGTTGTGAATAAGCAAAAATTAGAATTTTTTAAATAGATATTTTTTTATAGTTTCCAAAATAATGAGAGTGCTTCAAAAAGATTTTAATGCTTTTCCATGAATGCTGACTAATGATAAAACAAATCCATAAGAACACTTAGATCACCGGTTTATGAGACAGGCATTGATTCCCAAGGTTAATGAGTATCTGCTGGCTTAATTTAGCAGAAGTTTTGCGACAGCTCATAGAATTTCCTGGAAAATCAAAATATACTTTTATCAGCAAAATCTGCAAAATTATAACCCCTTGGGATTTTTCTGCAGGTATAATTTTCCTTTCTATTAAGCACAGATCAAACTCCTATGAAACAGCAGTCATCTTCAAAATAATTAGGTGAGAGGAGAGAGACAAAAGATCCATCCTACCAGTAAAGTTGCTGCATGTTCATGAGCTGGAAGGGTGGAAAAGCAACAGGAGAGGAGCAGTTACAGATAACATCAGTTTATTTGCATTTTCCTCCAAGAACAGAGGCAGTGAGGAGGAACACCAGACACCAAGCCACACTAAGGAACCATGTCAAGTGAAATCTGATAAACAGTACTTCATCGGATAAGCCTAGACAAAATAATCTGCCTTACCCACACCCCTTCTTGGGTTCTCAACTAACCGCATTAATTAACTTCTTAAAAATATGTAAGAGTTAGGGAGAATTGCAAAGTCACAGATAAAGGTATCTGCTCCACATGCAAGCAGTGATCAAAAGAAAACCACACTTAGGTTTAGTGGGTGTTGTGAACAATAAAGGAAGTATTACAATGGTATTTTCTTTTTCAACACAAATCTGTAGAGGATGTGCTTGAAATAACGTGTACAGTATGCTTCATCTCAAAAATGATTTTGCAATAATAGAAGGAATTTAGGTAAGTCCAGTAGAGAGCATTCTTACCATGGATAAATTGGTATACAACGAAATACTTAAGTCTGAGGTTTTAGCTTTAAAAGATGATAAGTGACAAAAAATAACAGAAGATATATAAAACTACAATTGTTTGGAGAAGTTAAATAGGGGCTTTTACTCATCCCATTTATAATATGAAATCAAAAGGAAAAGTGATGTAATGGACAGGTTACAAAAACGACCTAATAGAAGGAAAATTTCAGGGCACAGGAAAGAGGGTTAGTCAGGAAAATCATGAAAACAACCCTTTTTCTGAATATGCTGTTATTTTTCAATGCACTACTCTCAGTCAGTTCACATCTGCTTTTGGTACTCCCAAACTATTGCTGTCAGAGCTGTATTCCGTGATGCAGCTCTTGAAGCAGACACCAGTCAGAAAGGTAACCATTTAGCCACAGAACAGGTTCCTGTAATCAATAAGCCCCTCACTTACTATTCTGCTGCCAGAGCTCTGAAATGCCAGAGAGCCACTGCCCTGCTTCTCCAGGCCATCACAGTAGGAACGTATAGCATTTGATCAGCATTTACAGGCCTAGCTGCATATCAGAACAGACCTGGCACAACACTGTGCCTCAGAAAAAAAAATTGCTGCTTCCAAATAATGTATCACATGCTTTTCTCTTGTAGTTTTGGGACATTGATGTGAAGCTATGGGTGACAAGGGAGGCTAATATGTACCTATGGTTCAATCCACGTGCCAAATCATCTAGATTACTTCTCATTTCCAAAGAATTAAACTGGGTCCTATTCTAATTATAGATTGAATACAGTTTAATTATTCCTTTATCTAGATGTGGGTGGGGACTTACCTGCAACCTGGCATTTCTTTCACCTCAGGAAGGAAAAAAATACTCTCATCCAGCCAATATGTCAGCACTCAGATTTTTAACTCAGAAATAAAGTTCAGTAGGGCACAACATTTCACGCAGTACTAATCTGCTTGATACAATTTCTTACTCTAATTCCTCCTACTGCTGCCAACACACTGTCCGGTGTAGCTCCTATGTAGTTATGCCCACAGATCCACAATATGGATTTCTTATCGTTAGCTCGGGGCTCAGGCAGGCTGGCTGCTCCTGCTAATGCCAACAGCAGATGAACGAGCAGGTGGCCGGCAGGAAGATGCCGTGAGATTTCTAACACGAATCAGGAGAACAGAATTTCTGCCCACAGTTATTATGATCACAAACCTATATTTGCACCTACTTCTCCTTTGGTGTTCCTTCAAATCAAATGAAGTCGGGTTTTCTAATTAAGTCAAGCCACGTTTGCTGCAGTCAGTCCCAGTCTGAGTTTCAGTCTCGGCTATAACTCACTTATATCTGGAATCCGTTAAAGTTAACTCCAGTCCAGCAGCTTCACAAGCTCTGCCGTTTAAAACTATAACTTGAAAACCACTCTGTACCACCCAACAGCACTGCTCTCACAAAATGATGCTGCATGGACGCTCTGCTTTGTCTCCCTCTCCCCTCTTCTGACAGCCATTGATAGAATATACTGACTCAGCGGGAGCAGAACAAGGCAGAGGGCTACTAGTGGCTCAAGCAGCAGCAGCCTTCTGGCAGCACAATAGGAAGCTTCATTCAGTAGACTCCCAAATGCCACTTAGGCATGGAAACTTACTCAAAAAAACCCCCAACCAACCAAAAAAAAAAAAAGTCCTCCCCCCCAGCTAATAAACAATACAATCACACAGCTCGGAGCCCTTCCTGCATTCCCACCCAGTCACTTCCATCCCCAAATGAAGATGTCTGTTGCTGCCAACTCAACCAAGTCAGCTGGGCTCTGAAAATCTCGTTGTATCCTTTCTGCTTCAGGGCTTGTCATTGTCTACGTGGGTTCTAGACTCGGTGAGCTGCTGATAACCCCATGGATGGCGTGCGAGGAAGACCAGTTACAGCTGTACTGCCTGCAAAGCAGAGGGAACACACACACACACACACACACACACACACACACACACACAGGCCACCTGCAGCTACTCCTCAGATCAATGGTGCACCACCATCCACAATTTGAAAATTGCTCGTCCCAGTTGCACCTGTCACTCCTAACCTCATTTATTTTTATAATTATCCGAGTATTCAGAGCCTGGTATGTGTTAAACCTAGCTGGTTTTAAGCAAACAAATGCCAGGGTAGCATAGCTTGTATAATCCACTTAAAACACATTACCTCTGTATCTCAAACAAGATCTCACAGTTTTAGCTCCCACTATAAATCATCCTACACACATAACACCTGCTACTCCAACAAAAGAGTACATTAAAAGGCTTTAATGATTGGAAAGAAAATAAGTTTGTCTAAGAGACACCTGGAAACACAAACGCGGGGCATATGCCTTCGTGTACTAGGAATTACACTGTCACTTGCATTTAAATAAGACATATACATTCTGTACTCTCCTTCCTGCTATATTTGAATCAAGAATATACAACCCAAACAGTGCAGAACATCCACATATTTCAGCATGCAGTGAGCAGAACATCGCTTCATCCCTTCAAACCTTGGGTTTGCATGGCAAGGTTTTGGTGGAGAGGCTACGGGGTGGCTTCTGTGAGAAGCTGCTAGAAGCTTCCCCTGTGTCAGATAGAGCCAGTGCCAGACGGCTCCAAGATGGACCCGCTGCTGGCCAAGGCTGAGCCCATCAGCAATGGTGGTAGCACCTCTGTGATAACATATTTAAGAAGGGGAAAAACAAATTGTGCAAAAGCAGCCAGAAGAGGCGGAGCAGGGAGGGGAATATATGATAGTATCAACTCCAAGCAATTGCCACCTGAGAGAGGAGCGAGGATATGTGAGAGGAACAACTCTGCAGACACCAAGGTCAGTGAAGAAGGATGGAGAGGAGGTGCTCCAGGCAGTGGAGCAGAGATTCCCGTGAAGACCATAGCGAGGCAGACTGTCCCCCTATGGCCCATGGAGGTTAATGGTGGAGCAGATATCCACCTGCAGCCCATGGAGGACCCCATGCCACAGCAGGTGGATGCCCAAAAGAGGCTGTGACCCTGTGGAAAGCTCACGCTGGAGCAGGCTCCTGGAAAGACCTGTGGCCCCATGGAGAGAGGAGCCCATGCTGGAGCTGGTTTTCTGGCAGGACTTGTAACTCCATGGGGGATCCCCTGGAGCAGTCTGTTCCTGAAGGTCTGTGCCCTATAGAAGGACTCACGTCAGAGAATTTTGTGGAAAACTGTCTCCTGTTGGAGAAACCCCACGCTGGAGAAGTGGAAGAGTGTGAGGAGTCCTTCTCCTGAGGAGGAAGGAGCGGCAGTGAACTGACCCCAACCCCTGTTCCCCGTCCCCCTGCACCACTATGGGGGTAGGAGCCAGAGCATTTGGAAGTAAAGTTAAGCCTGGGAAGAAGGCAGGGGTGGGGGGATGGTGTTTTAAGATTAGTTTTTATTATAAATTAAATTAATTTTCTCCAAGTCGAGACTGTTTTGCCCGTGATGGTAATTGCTGGGTGATCTCCCTGTTCTTATCTCAACCCACAAGGCTTTCATTATATTTTCTCTCCCCCGGTCCAGCTGAGGAGGGGGAGAGATAGAGCAGCTTTGGTGGGGTCAGCATCCAGCCAGGGTTAACCCACCACACCTGTCCAAAAGGAAAGCAGTCCTTTTTTCAACTAGTCATTATTTGATACCGAACAAAACCTATATAAAAGGTGTCTTTATCAAGAGACATTTTTGCATGCTGGTCTGTTCCCATCAACAGATGAGTTATGAAAAGCATCTGTACTTTAGAGGTCTAGTGACGTCAGCAAACTGGTAGCAGTACACAGGTGGTCTGAGGTTAAAATTGGAGCTCTGATCTTCAGCTTACCTCTTGTGTGTGACTATCTAACTCAGGAATAGTCTGCCTGACTGCTGAGAGACAGGAGCAGTGCAGAACTGAGAAAAGGCCACAAAAGTACAATCTGCTGTATTACTGAGTTCCCACCGAAGGACGTGAGACATCACAAAAGCAGTGATTTACATGAAGCAGTGTGCAGGTCTCAGCAAATGGAATTTACCTTGAGGTTTGGGTTTGGTAAGTTTCCCACAGGGCTTTGAGATTGTGACAGTCTTCTGGCAGTCAGCGTTATGAAGGGCTCTCTTTAGGTTCCCGGTTCGAGTCTTCAGGGCAGTATTCAAGTCACATTCTCCCCAGGCCTGGAACTGGTATTTGCACTCCGCTGCAACAAGTAAATAAATAGCATTTTTTAAACAGAATGACTGAATGCGAAAACAAAAATGTTGAGTCTAATAAGGTATCACAGACAGCCAGTGCTTGTAGACAAAAGGATCATGAAACTGAAGAAAGGAATCTCAAGGAAACTTTAAGATAATTTGCAGTCATAATTGCAGTCTTCCACCCAAAATATTTTAAAATTTTGCATGGATATTGCATTATTGTCATATAAAAGGAAAATACATTCAACTACGAAGATACAAATAAATAAATAAATAAATAGATTTAAAAAAAAAAGAAAAAAAGAAACACCAACAGGGCAAATGTCATTCACTTCCTATATGGCTGTTCCTCAAGTTGTGTGATGCAAAAGGTTACCAAATAAGGCTTGAATAGTTTCAAGAACGTATGTGCAACTATGAACTCGTCACATCCGAAACTGCTGCACTGATTGTCTTGGTAAGGTCACAATGTTGTCAAAGCCCCACAAGAGGTTTACTGGAAAAAAGCCAAGTTTGCAAGAGTAATCAGATCTGAGTCCTGGACTGACATCTTGTCCAGGGTAGATGTGACTATCCTTCTGAACCATTATGTTCTGAACCTTCTGAACTGAATATTATAGATGAAACACACTGGTCTTCATCCACTCCTTTCAATGCACACACTTGTAGCTACCCATGCTCCGTGCTGCAAATCACGCACAGCAAGGTCATGTGAAACCTGTGTTAACCATTGCAGAGATTCACAGCTGTGAGTGAACATATAGCTTACATGGCTGCCTTAAATAGAGTTGTATACAGCTGATTTCAGCATGCTGCTGGAAGGCTGAGTTTACAATAAGTAGGTTATATGGACTCTCTGAGAGGAGCTGCTTTGCTCTAAAGAAGCTGTTTTCTGATGTCTTATGTATTCTTGTATCAATGAACTTCAAATACAGGAGTAGTCCCTTCACCAAGACATTTGCAGAGCTAAGCAGAAAACACAGGCTTCCTGCTCCATACTTTAATAAAAATCAACGCAAATGCCTTGAGAGAGTGATGCTTACCTCCAAATTGCTTCTTCCAGTTGCAGGGAATCTTACACTTCTGAGTCTTGGTGGTTTGCTTGCACTCAGCTCCAGTGCGAGTGCCCTCGCGCGTTCCCAGTCCACAGTCACCACTGGTGGGCACACAGACGCTCCACTGCCATTCCCCACAGTCAGACTTCTTCGCCTTTTTCTCTGGATGAAGACAAGGAACCGAACCCAAGCAAGAGAAGTGGTCAGTACCCAGACCCTACAGAGAAGACCCTAAACTTTGCTAATCAGTCACAGCACCTGAAAAGGTGGAGACCGAAGACATTTGTAAAACAATTGCTTCAAAAGCAAAAGGTCTGGCATCCAGTTTACAGTTCTGCAGAGAGAGGTCAGCCTCTTTGACCCCAAAGCAAAGTGGATCGTTCAAATTCAGTCCCAATACCACGTCTACTAATCCACTTAGATATTCTCAAGTGGATTGTCATCTTTAGCATGGGGAATCACCTCGGAACCCTCAGGAGTCACTGACCAAAACGTGCTCTCTCAGAAGGGGAACTCTGTCTCCAGTAGCTGATGGCATGCAAATATTTTCAGTTCCAACTGAAGCACTACACACCATACAGCTTAGAAATGTGTGTGTTGATGTTGTGTATCAGAAGATTTGAGCACCTCCAGGGAATGGCAGTGAGATACAAACTTTTCACTTGGAATATCATGTCACATTTTATGTCAGAATATGACCAAAACTCCAAAGGCAAATTAAAAACTAGATGGAGAAGTGTACTCAAAATGCTATTAATACAGGTGGGTTTGTTGCTCAGAGATAAAAATAAGGATCATGTTTTCATTTAAATCCTTAAACTGAAGTGCAATGAGAAAAGACAGCAATGTTATCAAACTCGAGGGTTTGCAAAAATAATCAGTTAAGCCCTCAAAACATCACAAGTAACTTTGAATAACCTTACATAAAATTATGTTCCTTCTAGTTCTTGTATATTTATGTTCACGTTTTCTCATATTTCCATATATCCCCAATGGTCACAAACACCTTGTTTTTAATGGAAACACTAATTCTTATAGACTCACAGGTCATATTAACTAGCGTGTAAGTAGCCTGTAAATACTAAGACCTTTAAAAAACCCACCAAAAGATGTGTTCCTTAAAAGATGTCAAAACTGGGTTGGATACATATGAATTTTCCACCCCAGGCCTGTCTCTCCTATAATGAGGTCTGAGTTCACCACTGACAGAAAGCAATTACCGCTGGATGTCTGGCTGTCTATCTGCAGCAGCGAGTTAGTTCAGTTCTTTGTTGGAGGATTTACACATCACACAGCATTGGCATAGCATTGTCACATGCAGCACTGAACAAGGAACATGATAACTGCTCTTTCATCACTCCTGTTTGGTTCTCCCGAAGTCAAGCATAAACCTATTTCCAGAGTAAATTTTAAGCTGCCTTGCAATACCCACGCTGTGATAAACTGAGGACTCCAGTCTCTGGGGCTGTCAAGCTGCCAGGTTTCATGGAAACTACTTTCTGTTTTCCTATTTAACACAGAAAAACATGTCACAGCCACAAATCCCTACTCTGCATGTCAAAAGGTTAACGAATGACCTGAATTTCATAACAAAACCATTTTTTGAGAAGCATTTGACATTCTCCCACACATGCAATCTATCCTGGGGATTAACTCTGAATTACACTGGACCTTACCTGGTTTCTCTTTTTTGCCGGCCTCTGTGGTACTCACAGCTGCCAGAAGGAAAACAAGTGCCAGGAGGGCAGCTGTGAACATTCGACGCTGTTGTTGCTGCTGCATTCTGGGGATTAACAAGAGAGAGGAAAAAAAGGTTGGTTAGAAGGTAAAAATTGGGGCCCCATCTAAAGTGTTGCTATAGCATTTTTGGGAAGCTCCGTTTCAGGGCCACAAGACACAAGCAGGTCAATCATAATTAACCGTTGGCAGAATGTATTCACTCTGGAATGAAGATAATTACCCAAAGTTTTTTAACAATTATTTCCCAGCCTGTGTACCAAATCCCTGACCTACATTGCTGATGTTTTGCCACAGGATGTTCAGTAATTATTGCTCACCTTCTCAAAATCTGTCAGAGAATCAAGGCTCTTGATGGGCCTGGAAATTCTGTTTTCTTTCCTGATGTCTGACTGTGATTTATTGTGTAAAACTAAACAAAACATACACTTTGTGCTTCAGCTTATCCATACATATGAAGTATAGAATGCTGCACTCTCCACTCTGCAGGGGTTCAAGTCCTTATAGGGCTGAATTGATATATGAAAAGACCTTCTTTCATGAAAACTTATATAGGTAATATGTGCTGTATTATCTTAATTGTCATTGGCATATTGCTACCTACCTTTTCCTCCCCCTCCAATTAGTGTCTCTTCCTAATATCAGTTAAGCTAATTGCCTTAAATGCAAAATGGACACAGAGATAGAACTTGTGCACACAGCTATGGGCTACCCATAGCATGCTAATGAACCCAAAATCTGAATTTGGGAAGCAAACATTCAAATATAAAAAGGAATTAAAAACGTTTGCTTGGTGGTGAAGCATCAATTATTAGCCAATCACTGAAGTCATTCAGAGCTGGCTAATTTCAGTGGTTTACACACATATTTCTCTTTCATTTTGCTATAATTTGCACTATCTCATTTTGGTGTTGTTTAACTGAAAGCAGGGCCATAACAAATATACATGCTAACAATTAGCAACCTTCCCAATTCCCAGAGACACGTCTCTAGTAGACAGCTAGATACCAAGACAGCAGACTGGGCATTGCTTGGATGGATGGTCTCCCCAGCTTGCTTTTTTTTTTCAACTAGGGACCGTGGCGTTCATACTACACCAGTCCTCCAAGGAGGTGTCAACAGTGCTAGCCACTAAGATGGCCTTAAAAACTCAGCTAAACCGATGTTAGAGAGTTTAGAGGCAACCTGAGCTCGTTTGCTGAGCACAGCAACCTTAGGGAAGAAATAATTTTCGCCATGAACAAAGAACAAAATATATTTGAAATTTAATTTGGCACTCCTCAGTAGTCCCTGCTGGCTACCTCTTGTTCAAAAGCAAAGTAATTGTAATTGACATGGAAAATAGGACAGGAATCCAAAACACATGGACTTTTAAGTATCCAGCTTTAATATCATGCTAGAAGCCAGATGATAAAATGTATTCGCTTTCTTTAAATACAATTCATGTGAAGATTGCAAGAGACTTGGCATTCAAATGTCTGAAAGAGCTGTCATTAGCACCAGTTTGATTTACTTCAAAAGAAAGTACCAGTTCCCATCATGAAGAAAGGACCACCAGCACTTCCAGTAAATTCAGACAGCCTGGAGCAAGAGCGCACGAGTCCTTCGTGAGCTTGAGTTTGGTTTTCCCTTTCTTCTGTTACATGTTTCCACTTAGAGCCTCTCTTGTTTTACAGAAAATGAAATAAATAAATTAATTAAGCAATAAAAAATAAATACACAATCTCCCTTTTTATTCACCTTACTTCAAACTGGTTCTCCATAATCAAACACAGTTGCAATACTTTTAAGACACCAAACTTTCCCCACTGCAGAAACTTGACCACCAGCATCACTGCACCTCACCTCACATCCCATTTTCCCAGCAATTTATCTCCTCACCTTCTCTCTTCTAAAGAACTCACCAGACTCCCTTGTTGAAGAAGTATTAAGGGCTTGTCTGGAAAGATATGGAAGAGACAAATACTTCTATACAACTTGAAGACACTGTCACAGTGCGCTGTCTGTGGGCGTCAGAAGCTGAAACAAGGCAGCACCAGTGGGTTTGCTACACAGGATGTCACCACAGGCAAGAGATGCCTGCAGTGGGCTTGGGATTCCCTCCTACATCCCTGTTGCCCACCCCAGGGACCTGGGATATGGTCACACACAGTCCCACAGTCACCGGGAGCCATGGATAACTGTTTGTAGGGAAGCTGCCTTATATTGAGACTCAAAATCAAATCTGATCAACATTATTTTCAGCAAAACAGGCAGGGAGAATAGTTGGGTTTTGGAGTCTGAAATGTTCCAGAAGCCCTATAAACAAAACCCCACGGAGCCTTAATATAGCATGTTTTCCTAAGACTCCAAGTCTCCCAACAGCCAAAACACTTGCCAAGTTGTCGAAGGCAAACACTAAACCTGCGGAGAGATATATATATCCCCCTGGCAGAGAGAGCCAGGCTGCTTCCTGAAGTGATTTGCTATTAATTACCAACAAGTGAAAAGCCATGTTGTACAGATGGAGGCCTTGCTTCTCACCACACCAACACCTCTAATTTGATGTAACCAGTATAACTACAGAAAATTACGTAATCGTTTTCCACATGATAGATCAGCAAGGGCAGGTGCTCCCACAAAATTATAAACAGCCTACATATAGCGCCCACTGAATATATATTTTTTTCAGAAGGCCAGAAAATCCCACCTATCACTAATGTTTTGAGTTCAATGTTCAGTTTTCCTTGCAAATATTTCAGCTGGCCATTAAAAAGATGGATGAAGAGAAAAAGCTCGTCATACTGGACTTGCTTTTGAGCAATATATTCTACCTAAAATAACTTCATCTTTTTGGGTTAACTTTTTCAAAATTCAAATGTGAAAATTTTTCCTTTTCGTTAGATTCTGTGATAACCTTCCCAGTTCAACCTTTGATTTAAAGAATTGCCAAAATTGCTAATAGCAATGAAAAAAAAGTCTTTCATGAAATGCAAAATGGGCGACTCCTCAACAGCTTGATTTTTGTAATGAGCCTTCTATCTACACCAATGGTAACAAGCGAATCTGTGTTATGAAGGGAAAGTAGTTCTAAAATCCTGTACGACAGCCCCTAAACAGAGCAAGGCAGCAGCATTTAAACAAATGGCAGTGGCATTTACACTGAGAGGAAGAGACATAAATTAAAGTGAAGGAAAGCAAAGAGACATTTGGGGTGGGGAGAGCTCTGGGAAACTTCAAAAGAGAGAAAAGATAAGAGAGAGAAAGAGAGTTTAGAAAAGTTTAAGTTATAAACTGGAACAAGATCAGAGAAAGAGAGTAAGCAATCACAAAAAGATCACCAAAACAGGAATGAGAGAAGAGAGAAGGAGTTAATGACAGTTTAAAACAGAGAGTGTTACAAAAACATGAAGCACATAACAAGGTGAGAACCAAAGCCCAGCTGAGATGCACCCTAGCAAGTGACTTATTCCAACAAAAATGAGGCACGGGAATTACTTCAGTCTTACAGTTGATTTCACAGTCAATCTCTGCTTGACTAAAAATTGAAGGGAAAATTAAAAAATGGGAAGCAATCAGAAAATTAATGAGTTCATCAACCATACATCCATGAGTTCAATTGCATGTTGAGCACCAGAGAGTGAGTCAGGAAGAAGTCACAGTATGGCTGCAGTTTAAAGGACCTTCTTCACTCCAAATCCCCCACTACCCCAACCTAATTAATTAAATGATTCGTTTCCTGATATGACTTCAGTCCACATGACTAAGTATATAATCTCTTTTAGGAAATACCTATCCTATGGACTGCAACACACAAAGCCCAGCTCTACCAGAGACCCAAACCAGTTTCCACATAGCACAGCATATAGAGACACTTCTGTTTGGGTCCATAAGTGCTAGAGACACTTCCATGCAGTGCCAGGCTTTGCCTAATGGCCCAGGAGAAAAATTTTACTCCCTCTACCCCAAGACCCTTCAAATGCAGCTTGCTTCCTTCATACCCAAGTTGGCAGCTCAAGGTGGTCCAGGTGTTTTCATACTGTGCTCTGTAGACCTTTGGATCTCTGTGCAAGTCAAGCTCGCTGGAGCAACTCTGTACTCATGCAATTAACACAGACACAGGTTCTCCATTTCCCACACCTGAACAAGTCTTTCCTGAACACAAACCAACAAAAATCCAACAAACCAACTTCAGATGAAGCTCCATCGGTGAGCAAGTGTTTATTTTTCCTAGCCTTACTAAAGCTAGCATACACAGCACATCCTAGGATCACATATGCCTTTTGCAGGTGGCTTTTTTGCTGTTAATAACTATTACCCACAAGCCCTTCCCTTCATCTGTTCTTTCCAAAGCAACTGGCAAGGTCCCTGATTATAGAAGCAAGTATTTTATTACTAGTCCTTATGAGTGTACTCTCCCACTCTGAACTATCAGGCTTTCTTACATGATTTAACCCATTCATATCCTCCAGCTCTTACAGTATAAGATCCCAAACATTGATAACGCTGTTACTCTGCAACTCTGCAGGTATTGCAATACTGCATATATTGCCTTTGCTAGTCACAGGTCACAGGCTTTGTAGTGGGTTTGCAAGGCCCAGGACTGAGGCTTGTCAAGGCTTGGTCTCTCTGAGCTTTCCTTGCCCTGTCTGCAACTTTGTCACATTTGGTTTGGCCGGAACAGCAATTTTTCTAATTGACCAGCTAGCTATGGTGAATTTCATTTACTTTTCTATGCCATTGCATGGAGCCACCCAGGTTTTATGATTATTATAATAATGTACTACAGAGAAATACAGGACTGGTATCTTAGCAAAGGCCTTGAGAAGTGGAGGCATAGGTTGGAATGTAGAGGAGCACAAGTATGGGAGATATGAGGTGGGAAACAGGCTTGAGAATGAAGGTGCCCCAGCTATAAACAACTCACCCATGGCCAGATAAAGGAATGCAGACCTGGAGATGGACAAAACTGGATACAGGACTAAGAAAGAGAACACAGAAATAGTTTCCAACATACCTGAAAAGGTGTCATATATACTAAGTTTGGACATAACATTGAGCTGCAGACCAAAAGCATGTTAGCAAATATACACAACCAACTCCAAGTTGATCAGAAATTGAGGAAGAAGAAACCATCTGGTTTCCTCCTGGCAAAGGACTCAAGGTGCTGACAAGTCACTCTAGCCATCACTCCCACTGACACTGCAACAAAACTACCAGCCTTAGGGCTGAGAGGAGCTGGGAAAAGGTCAGCATAACATTAGGAAAAGCAGTTGAATCTGAGAGTATGCATAACATTTTTAATTGTGGTTGTGGTGGTGTTATGGTTATTATAACATCTGTGTAGACATATTCCTTCTCTGTAATAACTGCATCTACACTAATAATGATTCTTGGATTAGATTGTATAACATTTCAACTATACTAACAACGTATTTTTTACTTTATATAAATATATATATAAGGCATTAGTTCCTTTTTGCCCATAAGCAATATTTTGAGCATAACTATGACTTCCAGCTTTGTCTTTTACTACACTATCATTTTTATCCTATGATCATGAATAAACAAAATGCATCCCAAAAGCAGACTTAAATTCCTACAGACCAATATTTCTCTTCACAACACTGCTCATTTCTGAGTCCTCCTTAAGCTCCTTACCCGCATTAGAACTACGTTTTGCATTAATCCCTCTATTTTTCCTGCTTGAATGAATAATTTCACATCAAGTCCCACAACAAATACTTTAATAAATTACAGTTTGATTAGTCCCAGATTAGTCACATCTATAAAATCAGTTTTTAAGTGAGCTAGTTTGGGAGATCAGTCTCCTTTCAGTAAACACATGCTGTGTTTAATGAAACTTAACATTTACCTCCACTTCTTAAATTATTCTCTTATTCAAAATGTGTTCTATTTTGCAGTCCATCAAGGGCAGATGAACATGTCTGCAGTTACCTAGATCTGTTTCTTCTCCTCTTCTTAAATAGAAATATTATATTTGCTATGCTCCAGTTGTATAACAGCAGGAAGTATTTGATGCATGTTTTAACACTTATAATGACTCTGAAATGTCAAGTGCCATTTTTGCAGTACTCCGAGGCGGACACACAGAGTTTTCTCTGAAAAAGTCAAGTTAAGACCATTTGACTCTTAGGAGTTTGACCTCTGTAAGAGCTGCAGAAACTTCTGCTTCTCCAGGTCTCTTTCTCATTCACAGTCTGGTTGCATGCCCCTATGTCCTACCCCATCTCCCATATTGAAAAAGCTCATGCACTTTTGGAGCTAGTGCTTTGGGAACTGTCCTCTTTCAACTGTAAAATGTTCACCCTCATACACATAGATATTTCCTTAGTTGTATTTATTTGCAGGATTAGGGGAAAAATAATTAGATTTGCTTTTCATTTCCCTTGCAAGACTTAACTCATCTTGGTTTTTGGTGAGTCTCAGCAATCTGTCACTTCTGGATTTCCAAGACACTATTGTCTTGGATGATCAGTACCATTTTATTAAATTCCTGCAAGCTCCTGATAGCTCTTTAGTGGGCTGCTCCCCAGTTAAATTTGGTATTCCTCTCTACAGGCTTTTTTCCACCTCTTTTTTTCTTGGGGAAAGAAATTTCAGTATTTGTTTTCAAACCAAATCAGCTTTATAAACACTTGATACAAGTGCTTATTTTTAAGGATGAGCTGTAAGGTCATAATGAATTAAATTCTAATATAGCTACAACTGTTTATAATCCTGTGGTAGGTAGTGAAGAAATCACATCCACAAATAATTAGCCCCTATTATTATCAGCACCACTTACCTTCTAATCTAAATTTGGAAAGATAAACCCTTCTATAATGAGAGATCTCCTTATATTTTTCTCATGTAAATACTACAAGGATAATACTTCTAACTAAATTCACATCCAACTTTGGGTTGACACAAAACCAGAAGATATTCTTCCATACTCCTCCAAAGTAGTTTTGAGTAATATGAATCTTATCTTATGCATACCAGTAGTTCCTATTCGTTTACACAGTGTCTCATTAATTTCCATTACAGCTGTATCACTTTTAATCTGGTTTCTATCTTTTCTGGACCATCAAATTCTGTCTACCTGTCATGATTACTATTTCAGAGTGCGTGCACGCTATCCCAATAACATCCATTTGCAGGTACTACACATCTTTCTAGCTTCTCCAATTCATTGCACAGACCACCTGCACCTGATCTTTCTCTCTGATCTCACTCAAATGTCTTCCAGATACCAACTTTTCATTACCTGCTTTCCACCCTGACTACTACAGTTTTCAACAGCAGTAATTTATTTCTTTGTCATGGCCACCCTGCCACCATAATGTTGTTTCTTTACCTAACGCTAAATCTTTATTCACCTTATTTTTTTCCCTCCTGAGCACTAAAAGTAGACATAGACATTGCATACATTTCTCTGTATGCTTCCTTACGGGTAAAAATCCCCAAACTCTTCTCACAGCACAAAGCCATGAGCCAACTTGATCTTCATTATTTCGTTGCACCTCCATGGACCAAATAAATGCTGTGTTCATTTCAAACAGAACTACTACTATAGCCTTAGTGATCTAAGCCTAAAAGTGAGCCAAGGTTTAAGGAAAGAACCTTTAATTATAACAACTGATTGCTCAACCAAATTACACTATGTCTGGCTAAAAAAAAACATGCCTTAATCTCATTTCTAACAATGGTTATGTTTTGGAACAATTTTGTTAAAGAAAATCTACTAGAATAATGATGAAACACCAAGTTTTCTTCTTTGGTCAAATGAAGCAATGAAATATTTCACTCCAGAGGGGATCAGGGGGTGGGAGGGAGTGTGTGGGTTGGTCAGTATACCAAAATAAACCTCCTATATTAATTCAGAGCCCTACAGCTGCTGCAGTCCTGCCCAAAGCAAAATCTGTGTGCTCATTTCCCTCCCTCCTTTGACTTTCCTGTGAGAGACCGGTATTCTCTTGTGATACACTAATGAAATTTTGGGAGCTGCATCAGCAACACCAGTGGATGCCAGGGGTCTGCATCTGTGCACTAACAAGTTAGTTCAAAGCAGTGTAGGAAACCTCAAACCCTACTGAAAGAAGCTCCCTGCATCTCAGCCACAGGAGGATGGCTGTGTGGCAGGTCCAGCATCTCAGCACCAGCCTCCAGGTCCCCGTTCCAACATGCACAACACAGTGCAGCTGGCAGGTTGCTCTGTCTGGCAAAAATAATAGAGACTCAGGGAGTTTCAACTAACAGGTGCATCTCAGTTATTCTTTTTTCTACTCCCTCCTTTGTTTGCATGGAGGGGAGGGAGAGAAGAGCCACCCCACACCCCTCCAGTGATGCTCTCCTTCCATGCAGGACAGGGGAAGCTGGCAAGCAGCAGCTGGTAGGGAAGAGACAATTGCTCCCAATGTGAGTGGGTACTCAAAGGAGTTGGGTAAGCAGCAATTTATTCATCAGCATAGTTTATTTAAAAAAAAAATAAATAAAATTTAGTATAACTATCTGTTGCTGCAGATCAGCCGGGGAGAAGTGAGAAAACTCTAGAAGACTGAAATTATATTTGGCAAACTTACTTACATTTTGTGGGTTTTTTGTTGTTGTTGGTTTTTTTTTAAACCAGCATTTCTGCTCAGCTACAGCGCAGGGTACCCATAATAACAACCCAGAATCAAACAGTTAGCTAAAAAGGAAAAAAATCACAGCATGACCCTTCTGATAAGCCCAAGTCAAACACTTCACTTCAAAAATTGCAGTTAGCAGCTCAGGGACTACATTTTTCAGTATGTAATCAACTTCATGTTCTCTTTTCAAAGTGGACAGCATTAAGGGCTAGAAAAATAAGCATCGAGACCAAAAAGTTATGCCATGCCATAAAAATAAACAGGGAACCAAGAGTTCCATGACTGAAGAAAATTATTAAAATGTAAACAGCAAAAAGTCAAAACCAATGGTCAATTAATATACCCCATCTATCTTTGTTCAAGTAAATAAGCTAAAATAATTAGTTAAGTTGTGGATAACAGTTTCCCTAGCCTTTGATATTTGCATAGTTGATTGCATGTTTGTCTCTCACATCAGGCTAAGGCAAACATACATGCTGTGGATATTTTATATTTCTAGCTCCCCATACATAAATTAATACTTCAAGTTGATAACAGATACTCCTGGGTACGTGACTGCTGCCTTTTAGTGCTGAGCACAATTAAGACTGATTCAAGACTCAAGAAAGGAGCTGGTCTAAACAAAAACAGACAGAACACTTCTTCCATTTTTTAAAAGTTTTTTGCCAAAATTACAATGTGTCAAGGGACAACATAAATTTTGACAAGAAGGCATTTTTTTATGAACTAAAACAATTTTTTTTTATTCTTTTTCACTAATATTAAACTGTATTCCCCTGCATTAAAAATATAATTTTACACAATCTCTGCAAAAGATCCTACTGTTTCTCATGGCAGAATCTCCAAATACTTCTGCAACATAACATCAGACCTAGAAATCTGAACCTCCATTTGAACTTGTCTTAGTCAGCTCTGTCTCTCAAGGAGCACCAAAAGCTGTGCAATTCCTTCACTGCAAGTTTTAAGCAAAATTTTGCCAACACAGGACACTATAAGCCTTTATCTGATCACAGAAGAAGGAATAAATTTTTTTGTGAAAGTCTAGCATTCACGCACTAGTGTTGTGCACAAAAAAAATATAATGGTAACAAATAGTCTCTTACCGAGAAGAGTAGTAATGGGAAACACAGAGCTAAACAAACACAACACGCAGTACAGATGGTTAAAAGTTAGCAGGGAACTAAAAATCTAATAGAGATGGCCAAAACCCTCCAGAGGGGATTAAAAATTTTGTGCTTCTCTCTTCCCACATTTCCAACATGAGATTTTACAAAAGTGATTTTACTTTCAGAAAGCCTAGGGAATACAACTAGTATTTTTAAAACATCATAACTGAAAAAAAAACCTAAACAAAACAAAAACTCACATTTGGTATCTTAACATCATAAGCTGATGTTAAAAAATTAACCATCGATAAAAGGGTGAAAAAACATACTGTCCTTTTAAGACAGGCATTATATTTATTAAACATAAAGGGCTGATTCCCATTTTCTCTGTTGGTCCCCAGACAGTGTACAGAGATCATTTTCTTAGCCCTCGCCTTCAAAATTTCTCTTAGAAACTACATGTTTGAAATGAATATCACTGTTGAAATCAGTTTTGTCCCCTTCCCCTTTCCCCGAGCTCTTATTCTACTCTCATCACAATGCACACATTTTCTTCCTCTCTTTTGCTTATGGTGGGTCTGAGCGAGCCAGGGGTCTCAAGCAATAACTAATACTGACTTCTGCAACTGCCTCTTCTATTACCCTTCCCTTCCCACTGCACTAGCTGAGATGCTGAAGAAAACAAAACCAAAAAAAACCCCAAACCAAACAACCAAACCCAAGGCTGATATTTCAGTTCACTCTGCTGTATTTCCAGATCTGGAAAAGACTGAAAAAGACATTTTAAGCCAGTTCTGTTACTGTGAATTTTTTCCCCTCCCTGCTCTTCCCACAATGATCACAACTGCTGTGTCACTGTCTACGAAATCACACTGTTGTTCTTTACACTTTCATTTCTCCAAGGCTAAAGATAAGATTATACAGTCCTGGATTTGACCACCCAACAGCCCACCAGGAAGAGCACAGGAGACTCACCTCCATTCCCTCCAATTGTTTCCCTTTCAGTGAGAGGGAGGCCAAGCTGCTGACTCAACTCTCCTGTGCATCATCTACATCAGCGTGTCTCTCCTGGAGAATCCAGGTGGTGTGGTCATGAGTTTTCCCAGCCACACAGGTAAATCCTCTCTCTATATTCTCTCTTGACTCCATCTTCACCACTCCCCCAATGTGCAAAAGAGATAATTACTTGATAACGGCAGAGGGACAAAGCATGCCTATCCGAGGAAAAAGAAGCTCTTATTACAGTTATTCTTTCTACCTCCTTTCCCACCCCAAACTGGCTAATGTCTTTGCTCTACCTAATGTTCTTCTGGTTGCCTCAGATTATCAAGACACAAAGTATTTTTTCATGGTTTTGCAATGCCTCCAACAAATGTCCAGATCCCTACTACTCAGATACCATGACTAGAAAACTAGAAAAGGGCAAATAAACACTGTAATATAGAGTCTTCTGATACTAGGAATACAGCTGACATATATTTGGCTAGCTAATATGTTTTCATTTATCAGAGATGAATTTGAGTTACCTTCTGAAAGTGTTAGAGTAAGGACTGGCATATTCCCATCTACTTGCTAAACAGAGGGCAGAAAAATAGTCTCTCATTGTTCCTATCTGGCCTAGAGAAAGTTTTCTTCACTATTACAAATTCATTTATTGAAGCAGAATAAATTTATGAAGCCTCCTTTTCTTAACTGCAGCAGTTGCAACGCTGTCACAGTCAGAAAAACCAGCAGTGATCAACTAATATAACTGTTTTTGTAATTAGGTCCACAGCCAAAGATTATTATTACTACTACTGTGAGGAAAAAAACTGTGTGCAGATATACACTGACGTCACCAAAGCCCCAGTGGTCATACCATTATTGTGAATGTATCATGATTTGAGAGCCGTTTAAGCTGTGACATGATTTTCATAATTAACAGCTGTACTGTACAAGCCAGGCAGATGCCTCCACTGTATTCTCATTTTCTTTTCCTCCCTCTGCCCCAATGAGGACATTTTCAGCTCAATGGCAATAGGCAAATCACAGCATCTGTCACTGTCCTCACTTCTCCATCTATGAAATAGGCATAATAGCACTTGCCTCCTTCAAAAACCACTGAGAAATCCATAATAAAACTATTATGTGAAGGGGGATGATTTTATTATTCAGCGTCAGCTGCAGCTTGCTCTACTTTCCTGGACTTTGTGCCACCATGGTTCCAGGCTTTGGGCAGGGTGGCCAGAGTACCCCAAGCAGAAGTGAGCAGCAGCAACACTGTGCTGCTCCCAGTGGCTCCAATATACTGCGGAGGGAAAGCTGCAAGACACAGCAGAACCCCTTTATCCTTATTAATTACCTTTCCTTGAAAGTAATCAGATTTTGTCAAATACTTAAGTTTTGATTTGCCTGAGCTGACTATCAGGCTGGAGACTTTTTCCTCCCCTCCAATCAGACCCTGGGAAATACTCTATACTGCTAAAGAAAATGGCCCGTTTTATTTCCTTTGCTCATTATGACTCCCTGTCTCCTTTGCTGTCTGTCTATTCAGATGACAGTCCAAAATATGCAATGCAGTGAAGAAAAAATTAAAGCTGAAAGCAAAGGGCCTCTCACCTATGCCCTCTATTAGTCTTTTTGAGGGACTACATTTATTATTTTTTTCCAGAGAAATTATCTCTTTGATTCAAGTGACATATCTCAGGGCATTGGGACATCTATGCAAAAATGAAAAAAGAAAAAATTAATTCAAGCAAAACAAATGCAAAGTGCAAATGAAATTTGTGTTTCGGCCATGTTGTAACACAGGACTAGAATGTGTTTTTAAAATCATTCTCCTCCAAAAGCAGTTAGCGAGCACAGGGCAGCAGTTGTGTAGCATGTTATCTCCTCTTTGCTAGTCAGAAAGAAAATGGCACACAGGCCCTCCAGTATGATACCAGTCAGCAATGAAAGAGAAGAGTCCAGATCTCATCTTCTGCAATTGATATCCATAGAATCGTTTAGGTTGGAAAAGACCTTTAAGATCATCATGTCCAGTTGTAAATCTAACAAGGCCAAGTCCACCACTAAACCACATCCTTAAGTGCCACATCTACATGTCTTTTAAATACCTCCAGGGATGGTGACTCAACCACTTCTCTGGGCAGCCTGTTCCAATGCATAATAACCCTTTCAGTGTAAAAATGTTTCCTAATATTCAATTTCAGCCTCCCTTGGCGCAATTTGAAACCATTTCCTCTTCTCCTATTGCCTGTTACTTGGAAGAAGAGACCGACATCTACCTCGGTACAAACTCCTTTCAGGTACTTCATAGTCCTTCCTACTTAGGTAAGACTTTAAGAACTGCCTCTCTTGCTCCAGTGCATTTTAACAACCACTCAGCATAGACCCTATCTTGAATTCACAAAAGGACATTGACCATGGCAGTTAGTGGTAGTAAAAAAATGAGTTGGCATGCAGTGCCACTCTCTTTTCAGGTATGGGAGCCTGGCCAATTTTCACCACAACGATATTAGTGTTAGTAATGAGCAACAGCTTTCAACAGACGCTGTGAAGCACTGTTGGGCACTAACGGTGAACAGCTGCATTCTGTGACAGTACATCAGAGCAATGCCTCCATCTATAGGAGAATGTTCTAGAAACAAGCTGTGGGAAGAGAGGAGTGTGCAAAACAGAAACTGAGGTTTAAATACACTAGTCAGTTTGCTTGTAATTATTAAAAAAAAAAAAAAAGAGGGATTTATGAGAGCATCGTACAGTCACTGGAAAGGCTACAGATTTCATCTCTTATCTCTGGGTTTCCACGGCAAACGGTGGAAATCCACTAACCCACCTCTATAATGCACAAAAGAAAATAAGTTTTCTGATAAATTTCCACTGAGTTATTTATACTATAATCCAAGGTATTGTGGAAACGGTTCATCCCAATGCACAATCCACAGCAGCAAAGAAGAAGTAGGGAATAAGAAGGGAGAGGTTCTCTGTCCTGATATTTCTGCCTCTTCCTCATCACAAGAGGAGCACCACAAGGTCTTTTCTCCCGCATCCCAGGCACTACATTTACACCCCAACATTCAACTTCCACTATTCTATGGAAAAATTTTATTTTAATCTTAGTCAGACTTTTCTGACTACACTTACATCGTGTTTGTTCTCTCTACTGGTTTCCAAAGAAAACAAGAGGTAGAGATGCCCTGAAGCATCTTCTGAAACCTGTTATACAGACACCCCAGGAAGTCAGGGAGAGCAAACACCCAAAGCTGTTTGCAATACCTTCCTTTTCCTAAGAACCACCATTTCTGAGAGAGCCCTTCATACTCATAAGCATCTGTAAACATTTGCACCTTGTAACCAAACCTCTCAAAAAGGGATTCACCACTCTCTGTATTTGATTTCTACCTCTAACCATGCATTTTGCTTAAGCCCTGGTCACATGCCAGCACCCATCTGTGTAAATATGCAATTTTTCTAGCTGAATTGCACATCCACAGCCACGACTCAACCACAGAAAGATCATGTAAATAATGGAAGCTGACAGCATAAGTAATTTTTTTCATGTTTCAGACGCCATGGTTGACTGCTGAACTGTGAGATCTGCTGTTTTTAGACTGTGCTAAGTTCTCCCCTTTCACCCCTGAAGATTCGAGACTAAAGGATGAATCTTGAATCACATGCTTCAGATGTTTTTCTTATCACACAGCTCAGTCAACACTTGTTCACATCCTACGACCTTTCCCTACAGCGGAGCTGCATCTTTCTTCTACCTTTCAAGGCCACTTACTCAAACAGTAGCTGGTGTAACTGGAAACACATGAAGTGACCATCACAAACCACGTGCCTCCCCAGTGCATTAATGGAGGGAGAAGTCACTAAGCCCTAAAAGAACAAGGTAGGGAAAGCTACATAGTACAGAGCTTTCGGTATTTCTCTTTTCTGATGTTCTCAGTAAGTCAAGCAGTCTGTCTTGCAAATACTAGAAATTAAAAACGGAGAGACCAAACGCAGGGAGGAGCACGAGGCTTAAAAGAAAGCGCCAGGTCTGCAACACAATGGCCTGCATAATTGGTTCTTTTGAAGTTTCTAATCACTTTTGGTAAGATCAAGTGGAAGTGACAAGTGAGGCTATCGGAACAGTGACTCCGTACAATGGTGGCACATGGGACTCCAACCGGTTTGTGTGGTAATCGTTAATTGTTTGGGGGCTTCCTCTAAGGCGCAAAACATATCTGAAGAGTTACCATTAAAACAAAAAAAAAAAAAAAAAGTCCTCCCCCCCAGCTAATAAACAATACAATCACACAGCTCGGAGCCCTTCCTGCATTCCCACCCAGTCACTTCCATCCCCAAATGAAGATGTCTGTTGCTGCCAACTCAACCAAGTCAGCTGGGCTCTGAAAATCTCGTTGTATCCTTTCTGCTTCAGGGCTTGTCATTGTCTACGTGGGTTCTAGACTCGGTGAGCTGCTGATAACCCCATGGATGGCGTGCGAGGAAGACCAGTTACAGCTGTACTGCCTGCAAAGCAGAGGGAACACACACACACACACACACACACACACACACACATGCAGGCCACCTGCAGCTACTCCTCAGATCAATGGTGCACCACCATCCACAATTTGAAAATTGCTCGTCCCAGTTGCACCTGTCACTCCTAACCTCATTTATTTTTATAATTATCCGAGTATTCAGAGCCTGGTATGTGTTAAACCTAGCTGGTTTTAAGCAAACAAATGCCAGGGTAGCATAGCTTGTATAATCCACTTAAAACACATTACCTCTGTATCTCAAACAAGATCTCACAGTTTTAGCTCCCACTATAAATCATCCTACACACATAACACCTGCTACTCCAACAAAAGAGTACATTAAAAGGCTTTAATGATTGGAAAGAAAATAAGTTTGTCTAAGAGACACCTGGAAACACAAACGCGGGGCATATGCCTTCGTGTACTAGGAATTACACTGTCACTTGCATTTAAATAAGACATATACATTCTGTACTCTCCTTCCTGCTATATTTGAATCAAGAATATACAACCCAAACAGTGCAGAACATCCACATATTTCAGCATGCAGTGAGCAGAACATCGCTTCATCCCTTCAAACCTTGGGTTTGCATGGCAAGGTTTTGGTGGAGAGGCTACGGGGTGGCTTCTGTGAGAAGCTGCTAGAAGCTTCCCCTGTGTCAGATAGAGCCAGTGCCAGACGGCTCCAAGATGGACCCGCTGCTGGCCAAGGCTGAGCCCATCAGCAATGGTGGTAGCACCTCTGTGATAACATATTTAAGAAGGGGAAAAACAAATTGTGCAAAAGCAGCCAGAAGAGGCGGAGCAGGGAGGGGAATATATGATAGTATCAACTCCAAGCAATTGCCACCTGAGAGAGGAGCGAGGATATGTGAGAGGAACAACTCTGCAGACACCAAGGTCAGTGAAGAAGGATGGAGAGGAGGTGCTCCAGGCAGTGGAGCAGAGATTCCCGTGAAGACCATAGCGAGGCAGACTGTCCCCCTATGGCCCATGGAGGTTAATGGTGGAGCAGATATCCACCTGCAGCCCATGGAGGACCCCATGCCACAGCAGGTGGATGCCCAAAAGAGGCTGTGACCCTGTGGAAAGCTCACGCTGGAGCAGGCTCCTGGAAAGACCTGTGGCCCCATGGAGAGAGGAGCCCATGCTGGAGCTGGTTTTCTGGCAGGACTTGTAACTCCATGGGGGATCCCCTGGAGCAGTCTGTTCCTGAAGGTCTGTGCCCTATAGAAGGACTCACGTCAGAGAATTTTGTGGAAAACTGTCTCCTGTTGGAGAAACCCCACGCTGGAGAAGTGGAAGAGTGTGAGGAGTCCTTCTCCTGAGGAGGAAGGAGCGGCAGTGAACTGACCCCAACCCCTGTTCCCCGTCCCCCTGCACCACTATGGGGGTAGGAGCCAGAGCATTTGGAAGTAAAGTTAAGCCTGGGAAGAAGGCAGGGGTGGGGGGATGGTGTTTTAAGATTAGTTTTTATTATAAATTAAATTAATTTTCTCCAAGTCGAGACTGTTTTGCCCGTGATGGTAATTGCTGGGTGATCTCCCTGTTCTTATCTCAACCCACAAGGCTTTCATTATATTTTCTCTCCCCCGGTCCAGCTGAGGAGGGGGAGAGATAGAGCAGCTTTGGTGGGGTCAGCATCCAGCCAGGGTTAACCCACCACACCTGTCCAAAAGGAAAGCAGTCCTTTTTTCAACTAGTCATTATTTGATACCGAACAAAACCTATATAAAAGGTGTCTTTATCAAGAGACATTTTTGCATGCTGGTCTGTTCCCATCAACAGATGAGTTATGAAAAGCATCTGTACTTTAGAGGTCTAGTGACGTCAGCAAACTGGTAGCAGTACACAGGTGGTCTGAGGTTAAAATTGGAGCTCTGATCTTCAGCTTACCTCTTGTGTGTGACTATCTAACTCAGGAATAGTCTGCCTGACTGCTGAGAGACAGGAGCAGTGCAGAACTGAGAAAAGGCCACAAAAGTACAATCTGCTGTATTACTGAGTTCCCACCGAAGGACGTGAGACATCACAAAAGCAGTGATTTACATGAAGCAGTGTGCAGGTCTCAGCAAATGGAATTTACCTTGAGGTTTGGGTTTGGTAAGTTTCCCACAGGGCTTTGAGATTGTGACAGTCTTCTGGCAGTCAGCGTTATGAAGGGCTCTCTTTAGGTTCCCGGTTCGAGTCTTCAGGGCAGTATTCAAGTCACATTCTCCCCAGGCCTGGAACTGGTATTTGCACTCCGCTGCAACAAGTAAATAAATAGCATTTTTTAAACAGAATGACTGAATGCGAAAACAAAAATGTTGAGTCTAATAAGGTATCACAGACAGCCAGTGCTTGTAGACAAAAGGATCATGAAACTGAAGAAAGGAATCTCAAGGAAACTTTAAGATAATTTGCAGTCATAATTGCAGTCTTCCACCCAAAATATTTTAAAATTTTGCATGGATATTGCATTATTGTCATATAAAAGGAAAATACATTCAACTACGAAGATACAAATAAATAAATAAATAAATAGATTTAAAAAAAAAAGAAAAAAAGAAACACCAACAGGGCAAATGTCATTCACTTCCTATATGGCTGTTCCTCAAGTTGTGTGATGCAAAAGGTTACCAAATAAGGCTTGAATAGTTTCAAGAACGTATGTGCAACTATGAACTCGTCACATCCAAAACTGCTGCACTGATTGTCTTGGTAAGGTCACAATGTTGTCAAAGCCCCACAAGAGGTTTACTGGAAAAAAGCCAAGTTTGCAAGAGTAATCAGATCTGAGTCCTGGACTGACATCTTGTCCAGGGTAGATGTGACTATCCTTCTGAACCATTATGTTCTGAACCTTCTGAACTGAATATTATAGATGAAACACACTGGTCTTCATCCACTCCTTTCAATGCACACACTTGTAGCTACCCATGCTCCGTGCTGCAAATCACGCACAGCAAGGTCATGTGAAACCTGTGTTAACCATTGCAGAGATTCACAGCTGTGAGTGAACATATAGCTTACATGGCTGCCTTAAATAGAGTTGTATACAGCTGATTTCAGCATGCTGCTGGAAGGCTGAGTTTACAATAAGTAGGTTATATGGACTCTCTGAGAGGAGCTGCTTTGCTCTAAAGAAGCTGTTTTCTGATGTCTTATGTATTCTTGTATCAATGAACTTCAAATACAGGAGTAGTCCCTTCACCAAGACATTTGCAGAGCTAAGCAGAAAACACAGGCTTCCTGCTCCATACTTTAATAAAAATCAACGCAAATGCCTTGAGAGAGTGATGCTTACCTCCAAATTGCTTCTTCCAGTTGCAGGGAATCTTACACTTCTGAGTCTTGGTGGTTTGCTTGCACTCAGCTCCAGTGCGAGTGCCCTCGCGCGTTCCCAGTCCACAGTCACCACTGGTGGGCACACAGACGCTCCACTGCCATTCCCCACAGTCAGACTTCTTCGCCTTTTTCTCTGGATGAAGACAAGGAACCGAACCCAAGCAAGAGAAGTGGTCAGTACCCAGACCCTACAGAGAAGACCCTAAACTTTGCTAATCAGTCACAGCACCTGAAAAGGTGGAGACCGAAGACATTTGTAAAACAATTGCTTCAAAAGCAAAAGGTCTGGCATCCAGTTTACAGTTCTGCAGAGAGAGGTCAGCCTCTTTGACCCCAAAGCAAAGTGGATCGTTCAAATTCAGTCCCAATACCACGTCTACTAATCCACTTAGATATTCTCAAGTGGATTGTCATCTTTAGCATGGGGAATCACCTCGGAACCCTCAGGAGTCACTGACCAAAACGTGCTCTCTCAGAAGGGGAACTCTGTCTCCAGTAGCTGATGGCATGCAAATATTTTCAGTTCCAACTGAAGCACTACACACCATACAGCTTAGAAATGTGTGTGTTGATGTTGTGTATCAGAAGATTTGAGCACCTCCAGGGAATGGCAGTGAGATACAAACTTTTCACTTGGAATATCATGTCACATTTTATGTCAGAATATGACCAAAACTCCAAAGGCAAATTAAAAACTAGATGGAGAAGTGTACTCAAAATGCTATTAATACAGGTGGGTTTGTTGCTCAGAGATAAAAATAAGGATCATGTTTTCATTTAAATCCTTAAACTGAAGTGCAATGAGAAAAGACAGCAATGTTATCAAACTCGAGGGTTTGCAAAAATAATCAGTTAAGCCCTCAAAACATCACAAGTAACTTTGAATAACCTTACATAAAATTATGTTCCTTCTAGTTCTTGTATATTTATGTTCACGTTTTCTCATATTTCCATATATCCCCAATGGTCACAAACACCTTGTTTTTAATGGAAACACTAATTCTTATAGACTCACAGGTCATATTAACTAGCGTGTAAGTAGCCTGTAAATACTAAGACCTTTAAAAAACCCACCAAAAGATGTGTTCCTTAAAAGATGTCAAAACTGGGTTGGATACATATGAATTTTCCACCCCAGGCCTGTCTCTCCTATAATGAGGTCTGAGTTCACCACTGACAGAAAGCAATTACCGCTGGATGTCTGGCTGTCTATCTGCAGCAGCGAGTTAGTTCAGTTCTTTGTTGGAGGATTTACACATCACACAGCATTGGCATAGCATTGTCACATGCAGCACTGAACAAGGAACATGATAACTGCTCTTTCATCACTCCTGTTTGGTTCTCCCGAAGTCAAGCATAAACCTATTTCCAGAGTAAATTTTAAGCTGCCTTGCAATACCCACGCTGTGATAAACTGAGGACTCCAGTCTCTGGGGCTGTCAAGCTGCCAGGTTTCATGGAAACTACTTTCTGTTTTCCTATTTAACACAGAAAAACATGTCACAGCCACAAATCCCTACTCTGCATGTCAAAAGGTTAACGAATGACCTGAATTTCATAACAAAACCATTTTTTGAGAAGCATTTGACATTCTCCCACACATGCAATCTATCCTGGGGATTAACTCTGAATTACACTGGACCTTACCTGGTTTCTCTTTTTTGCCGGCCTCTGTGGTACTCACAGCTGCCAGAAGGAAAACAAGTGCCAGGAGGGCAGCTGTGAACATTCGACGCTGTTGTTGCTGCTGCATTCTGGGGATTAACAAGAGAGAGGAAAAAAAGGTTGGTTAGAAGGTAAAAATTGGGGCCCCATCTAAAGTGTTGCTATAGCATTTTTGGGAAGCTCCGTTTCAGGGCCACAAGACACAAGCAGGTCAATCATAATTAACCGTTGGCAGAATGTATTCACTCTGGAATGAAGATAATTACCCAAAGTTTTTTAACAATTATTTCCCAGCCTGTGTACCAAATCCCTGACCTACATTGCTGATGTTTTGCCACAGGATGTTCAGTAATTATTGCTCACCTTCTCAAAATCTGTCAGAGAATCAAGGCTCTTGATGGGCCTGGAAATTCTGTTTTCTTTCCTGATGTCTGACTGTGATTTATTGTGTAAAACTAAACAAAACATACACTTTGTGCTTCAGCTTATCCATACATATGAAGTATAGAATGCTGCACTCTCCACTCTGCAGGGGTTCAAGTCCTTATAGGGCTGAATTGATATATGAAAAGACCTTCTTTCATGAAAACTTATATAGGTAATATGTGCTGTATTATCTTAATTGTCATTGGCATATTGCTACCTACCTTTTCCTCCCCCTCCAATTAGTGTCTCTTCCTAATATCAGTTAAGCTAATTGCCTTAAATGCAAAATGGACACAGAGATAGAACTTGTGCACACAGCTATGGGCTACCCATAGCATGCTAATGAACCCAAAATCTGAATTTGGGAAGCAAACATTCAAATATAAAAAGGAATTAAAAACGTTTGCTTGGTGGTGAAGCATCAATTATTAGCCAATCACTGAAGTCATTCAGAGCTGGCTAATTTCAGTGGTTTACACACATATTTCTCTTTCATTTTGCTGTAATTTGCACTATCTCATTTTGGTGTTGTTTAACTGAAAGCAGGGCCATAACAAATATACATGCTAACAATTAGCAACCTTCCCAATTCCCAGAGACACGTCTCTAGTAGACAGCTAGATACCAAGACAGCAGACTGGGCATTGCTTGGATGGATGGTCTCCCCAGCTTGCTTTTTTTTTTCAACTAGGGACCATGGCGTTCATACTACACCAGTCCTCCAAGGAGGTGTCAACAGTGCTAGCCACTAAGATGGCCTTAAAAACTCAGCTAAACCGATGTTAGAGAGTTTAGAGGCAACCTGAGCTCGTTTGCTGAGCACAGCAACCTTAGGGAAGAAATAATTTTCGCCATGAACAAAGAACAAAATATATTTGAAATTTAATTTGGCACTCCTCAGTAGTCCCTGCTGGCTACCTCTTGTTCAAAAGCAAAGTAATTGTAATTGACATGGAAAATAGGACAGGAATCCAAAACACATGGACTTTTAAGTATCCAGCTTTAATATCATGCTAGAAGCCAGATGATAAAATGTATTCGCTTTCTTTAAATACAATTCATGTGAAGATTGCAAGAGACTTGGCATTCAAATGTCTGAAAGAGCTGTCATTAGCACCAGTTTGATTTACTTCAAAAGAAAGTACCAGTTCCCATCATGAAGAAAGGACCACCAGCACTTCCAGTAAATTCAGACAGCCTGGAGCAAGAGCGCACGAGTCCTTCGTGAGCTTGAGTTTGGTTTTCCCTTTCTTCTGTTACATGTTTCCACTTAGAGCCTCTCTTGTTTTACAGAAAATGAAATAAATAAATTAATTAAGCAATAAAAAATAAATACACAATCTCCCTTTTTATTCACCTTACTTCAAACTGGTTCTCCATAATCAAACACAGTTGCAATACTTTTAAGACACCAAACTTTCCCCACTGCAGAAACTTGACCACCAGCATCACTGCACCTCACCTCACATCCCATTTTCCCAGCAATTTATCTCCTCACCTTCTCTCTTCTAAAGAACTCACCAGACTCCCTTGTTGAAGAAGTATTAAGGGCTTGTCTGGAAAGATATGGAAGAGACAAATACTTCTATACAACTTGAAGACACTGTCACAGTGCGCTGTCTGTGGGCGTCAGAAGCTGAAACAAGGCAGCACCAGTGGGTTTGCTACACAGGATGTCACCACAGGCAAGAGATGCCTGCAGTGGGCTTGGGATTCCCTCCTACATCCCTGTTGCCCACCCCAGGGACCTGGGATATGGTCACACACAGTCCCACAGTCACCGGGAGCCATGGATAACTGTTTGTAGGGAAGCTGCCTTATATTGAGACTCAAAATCAAATCTGATCAACATTATTTTCAGCAAAACAGGCAGGGAGAATAGTTGGGTTTTGGAGTCTGAAATGTTCCAGAAGCCCTATAAACAAAACCCCACGGAGCCTTAATATAGCATGTTTTCCTAAGACTCCAAGTCTCCCAACAGCCAAAACACTTGCCAAGTTGTCGAAGGCAAACACTAAACCTGCGGAGAGATATATATATCCCCCTGGCAGAGAGAGCCAGGCTGCTTCCTGAAGTGATTTGCTATTAATTACCAACAAGTGAAAAGCCATGTTGTACAGATGGAGGCCTTGCTTCTCACCACACCAACACCTCTAATTTGATGTAACCAGTATAACTACAGAAAATTACGTAATCGTTTTCCACATGATAGATCAGCAAGGGCAGGTGCTCCCACAAAATTATAAACAGCCTACATATAGCGCCCACTGAATATATATTTTTTTCAGAAGGCCAGAAAATCCCACCTATCACTAATGTTTTGAGTTCAATGTTCAGTTTTCCTTGCAAATATTTCAGCTGGCCATTAAAAAGATGGATGAAGAGAAAAAGCTCGTCATACTGGACTTGCTTTTGAGCAATATATTCTACCTAAAATAACTTCATCTTTTTGGGTTAACTTTTTCAAAATTCAAATGTGAAAATTTTTCCTTTTCGTTAGATTCTGTGATAACCTTCCCAGTTCAACCTTTGATTTAAAGAATTGCCAAAATTGCTAATAGCAATGAAAAAAAAGTCTTTCATGAAATGCAAAATGGGCGACTCCTCAACAGCTTGATTTTTGTAATGAGCCTTCTATCTACACCAATGGTAACAAGCGAATCTGTGTTATGAAGGGAAAGTAGTTCTAAAATCCTGTACGACAGCCCCTAAACAGAGCAAGGCAGCAGCATTTAAACAAATGGCAGTGGCATTTACACTGAGAGGAAGAGACATAAATTAAAGTGAAGGAAAGCAAAGAGACATTTGGGGTGGGGAGAGCTCTGGGAAACTTCAAAAGAGAGAAAAGATAAGAGAGAGAAAGAGAGTTTAGAAAAGTTTAAGTTATAAACTGGAACAAGATCAGAGAAAGAGAGTAAGCAATCACAAAAAGATCACCAAAACAGGAATGAGAGAAGAGAGAAGGAGTTAATGACAGTTTAAAACAGAGAGTGTTACAAAAACATGAAGCACATAACAAGGTGAGAACCAAAGCCCAGCTGAGATGCACCCTAGCAAGTGACTTATTCCAACAAAAATGAGGCACGGGAATTACTTCAGTCTTACAGTTGATTTCACAGTCAATCTCTGCTTGAGTAAAAATTGAAGGGAAAATTAAAAAATGGGAAGCAATCAGAAAATTAATGAGTTCATCAACCATACATCCATGAGTTCAATTGCATGTTGAGCACCAGAGAGTGAGTCAGGAAGAAGTCACAGTATGGCTGCAGTTTAAAGGACCTTCTTCACTCCAAATCCCCCACTACCCCAACCTAATTAATTAAATGATTCGTTTCCTGATATGACTTCAGTCCACATGACTAAGTATATAATCTCTTTTAGGAAATACCTATCCTATGGACTGCAACACACAAAGCCCAGCTCTACCAGAGACCCAAACCAGTTTCCACATAGCACAGCATATAGAGACACTTCTGTTTGGGTCCATAAGTGCTAGAGACACTTCCATGCAGTGCCAGGCTTTGCCTAATGGCCCAGGAGAAAAATTTTACTCCCTCTACCCCAAGACCCTTCAAATGCAGCTTGCTTCCTTCATACCCAAGTTGGCAGCTCAAGGTGGTCCAGGTGTTTTCATACTGTGCTCTGTAGACCTTTGGATCTCTGTGCAAGTCAAGCTCGCTGGAGCAACTCTGTACTCATGCAATTAACACAGACACAGGTTCTCCATTTCCCACACCTGAACAAGTCTTTCCTGAACACAAACCAACAAAAATCCAACAAACCAACTTCAGATGAAGCTCCATCGGTGAGCAAGTGTTTATTTTTCCTAGCCTTACTAAAGCTAGCATACACAGCACATCCTAGGATCACATATGCCTTTTGCAGGTGGCTTTTTTGCTGTTAATAACTATTACCCACAAGCCCTTCCCTTCATCTGTTCTTTCCAAAGCAACTGGCAAGGTCCCTGATTATAGAAGCAAGTATTTTATTACTAGTCCTTATGAGTGTACTCTCCCACTCTGAACTATCAGGCTTTCTTACATGATTTAACCCATTCATATCCTCCAGCTCTTACAGTATAAGATCCCAAACATTGATAACGCTGTTACTCTGCAACTCTGCAGGTATTGCAATACTGCATATATTGCCTTTGCTAGTCACAGGTCACAGGCTTTGTAGTGGGTTTGCAAGGCCCAGGACTGAGGCTTGTCAAGGCTTGGTCTCTCTGAGCTTTCCTTGCCCTGTCTGCAACTTTGTCACATTTGGTTTGGCCGGAACAGCAATTTTTCTAATTGACCAGCTAGCTATGGTGAATTTCATTTACTTTTCTATGCCATTGCATGGAGCCACCCAGGTTTTATGATTATTATAATAATGTACTACAGAGAAATACAGGACTGGTATCTTAGCAAAGGCCTTGAGAAGTGGAGGCATAGGTTGGAATGTAGAGGAGCACAAGTATGGGAGATATGAGGTGGGAAACAGGCTTGAGAATGAAGGTGCCCCAGCTATAAACAACTCACCCATGGCCAGATAAAGGAATGCAGACCTGGAGATGGACAAAACTGGATACAGGACTAAGAAAGAGAACACAGAAATAGTTTCCAACATACCTGAAAAGGTGTCATATATACTAAGTTTGGACATAACATTGAGCTGCAGA